TTAATTTCAAAATTTTTATGGATATTTTTGTTTTTAATTATGACAAAACCAAAAAAAAATTATTATGATAATAAAACGAAAATGTGAAATATAACGAGTATACTTTTTATAATAATTAATAGAGGAGCTAAAATTGATCCTCCAGAGGAGCTGAGACTGACCCGCTAATATTACAAGCTCAGTCTTTCATCAATAGTTAAAAAATGCAATCCGATAGAGTAGACTAAAAATCAATATTCTCACCATCTCCTGTTCATTGCCTCTTTCAGTTTTCCTTAAAAAAAATTAAGACAGTTGTTATATGTTTCTTTTGAAAATCAAAGGGCAGATTAAAACCAATATCATTCATGATATGCATGCATAAAGCGCAGCTCATCCTTGTTTTTCCGTGAAATGTTGTATTATCATGGTAAGTCTTGGATGAGAATAGATATGATTATTTTATAGTATTAAAAAGGAAAAACAAGAGGAAGAATGTAAATGTGAGAGTGGTAATTAGCAGGATGGTCAAGTATTGAGAATCTTGTAGTTCATCAAATTTAAATGTATGATATATTAGTTATGGAAGATACACACAACGACAATGTTGCAGTAACAAGATGAGGAAAAAAAATTGAAAAGGTTTACGTTACCAAACATATCCACATTTCATTCCTATTGCTACTTGAAACTAACTGGTGACTTTCTGCAGATTGGCAGGCAGCTGACGCTTAGCAAACAAGATCTCCCTCATCATCACTGTTAATCCAACCATAACACAGTTTGTGCTGCGTAGAAATGGAATGTACATGTGAATGTGGAGTGTTCTGCTGAGGTTATTTGGGGTGAGAGGACTTGTGTTTCAATCAAGCCTCCTGAATTTTGGTGGCTCGCACAGCAAGGCAGAATGTCCACTGGTGGCAGGCTGTTCTTGTGGGAAGGGTGAATTATTACAGAATGACTCTCTGGAGAAAGAACACTGGAGATCTAATGGAGGTAAGAAGTCAGCTTGGACTGCACATTGATCTTCTTGCTGGACATCCTTCGCAAAGCATGGAGTTACCAGATGGTGGCACCAGTAACATTTGTACTAGGAAGAAATTCTAACTGCCATTAGCATAAATCCACTAATGAAAACAGAGTAAGAAAGTAAAATTTTTATCCAGCCAAGAGAACTATTGAGCCTTAAATCTGTTGCAACCTTACGAGAACAATCTTCTATTAATAAGCTATAGTGTTCAACAATCTAACCAAGTGCAAACGCACATGGCTATTAAAATACATACAAAAAAAAAAAAAAGAAGGGAAAACTAACCAACTTTCTAAGAATTTTCAGCATTTACCTTTTGAGAACAACTTTCTATCAAGAGTTTTTTTTCAGCATTCGTTTGTTCATCAATAATGGTGTCAATGGCAAGCTTGTAATACCCCCTTCAATAAAAACCCAACCATCATCTCCACCATAAGCTTATGACAAAAAGGAAAACTACCATTTTATTCTTATCCTAAACAAAACCAAACCCAGAAAAACAATATGCCTCTTTCAGTGGCCTAAACCCCAGAAAAACCTCCAAGTACAAAATTACAGTGCTTTTAAAATCCACCCACAAAAAGCACTCAGATGATATAAGAATTGAGAACTCCAAAATTCTAACTGTAAATTAGTAAATTTCTTTCCCTTTCTAGTCACTACATTTTCCCAGCAGCCAAAAAGAAAATTAAACAGAGGTATAATAATGTTTTCCCAAGAAAAGTTCTAATTTTTAGGTAACAAATCGCATTCTTCCTCTTCCAAAATTTCCCAGAAACGAAATGCACGCTTCAAACACAGGCCTAAACGTATACAAGCATCCGCAAAGGCGAGTTACCTTGAGGATGTTAGCCGTGGTCCTCCGAACCGCCTTCTCTTTTGAACCCCATGGGGCGAAGAGCATTCAAGGCGGCATCAATGCGCCTCGAGCCGGAGTGAAAAAGCGGGGAAAACCCCAAAATAGGTGAGAAAGAGAAGGAAAAATCGGCGAAATCAGATTTGAGAAGTAGACGAAAGAAAGGGGAAGGCTTTCGCTTGATACCTTCTGAACTCATCTCCGTGGAGCCACTTCCGTTCACCCACCCTCCGAATCGTCAGGATTTTCTTCTGCCTCACTTCACTCTCCCCGAGTATGATTTATTGATTTTCTAGAGACAGAGGAAATAGAGTCTGATGATCGGGAACACGAACAGAACGAAATCCGCGATTTCGCCTCGAAATCATTTTAATATTATAAAAAATCTGGTTCCGAGGAGCCCACGGAAACGGGATCGAACTGGTTTTCTTGATTAGCAAGCAACATGACTGCCACGCAGGCAATCCGGCAAATTGAAGGCGGCTTGACTGCTGGCTTATGGCATGGGTGATTTGATGGAAGGAAAAGAAGGAAAGGAAGTTTTTTTAAAAAATTTTATTCGAAAAAAACAGAGAACATTATAAAATTTTGATATTAAAAATGTTCATAATATTTAATTATAATCATTATATATATAAAAGATGTAATGTAAAATTTTAATTTTATTAAATTTATTATATAATTATTTTAAATATTTT